TTTGAGTACTAAGGATAAAAATTAAAAGGTCCATAGTAATGAGCTTATAAGATAATATGGAGGCTTTGGTGATTTGAAAATTTTAGTCATTAATATTAGTCTACCGATATTAATAATTTGCAAATATGGCTCAACTATATTAAATACTAGATCCAATTTTACGTCTATTTTATATTTATGTAAAACAAGTTTTAAGAACTATTATCCTTAATAGAAACATTTTAATGACTAAGAAACTACAAAATAAAATTGTAAATGTGATAATCGCGCATCAAAATTTTCAAAAAAATTATCCACTAACTAATTTACACTAAAAAAAGAGGGGATCTCATTTGAGAAACAGAAGGTAGTATCACCACAGAACACTTCTTAAGTAGAACAAAAAAAAATCAAGAATTGGAAATTATAGTCAATGAGTATATTTAAAAATTCTAAAAATCGGAATTTGAATAAATTAATTTTTAAAGCAAAACATGGAGGTGAGCATGCTTGGTGAATCAACCAGTATAATGTATATAATATATTTTATCGTAGGCATATGGTAAAATCAGACATTTTACTAAATGCCTGGGCAAATGGTCAACATGTTTTAAGCGATTTTACTGTCCTCCTAAACATTTAGTTAAATGCCCAGACGCTTAATTGAATGCCTATTTAAATTCAGGCAAATATTAAAATGAAACGTTTTTGTATTATTTTAAAAATGTATTGTATTTCCTTTTAAATTATTTTTTGTTATTCCATATAATTTATTAATATGGGATTTTTAATTTTTGTGATTTCATTACAATTGTTTTAAAATTAATATTTTTAATAAATATAGGTAATTACTAATTAGGGATGACGGTACGAGTATGAAAAATGAATAAAAAGTTAACTTATAATTACAAATTTTTGTTCAATTTCGAACCGATCGGTGTTTGTGTTTAAAAAAAAAATGGTAAATGTTTCAGCAATTTCCACCAAACAAAAACGTGTAACAAGTAACAACATACCCATAACCCATCGTCACCAATGTTTGATCAACATTCATGTTTATCCAAAGTTTTTTATTTGTGGAGCGAGTTGGGCAGGACAATTAACAATATTATAAATATTGCAGACATAACCTTTTCATATTATTTTGGTGTACATTGGATAAGTGGTTTCTTTTATAAATTATAATTGGCAATAAATATAATTCACAATTTAATATACATATTTGAGCAGTTCAATGTTCTGCTGAAGTGCTGAATGTTCCATTATCTGTGTTGAGACAACGGTTATCTACAGAAGATTGAGTACATAACCGAGTGTTAAGACTTAAAACCATAACTAGTTTTTTACTTTTCGTAATTGTTAATAGGTTTGAAATATATGGGGACTGTGGCGATTTTAAAATTTTAGTAATTGATACTAATCCATTAATAATTATAATTTGTAAAATTAGTCCAAGTATAATGCATACTACGTGTCTATACTCTATATTTAATATTACATAATATACTTTATATTTTTGTAAAACCTTTTTTTAGGACTGTTATACTTAGTATAAACTCTTTAATAGCTGAAAAATTATTCATTTGAATTTTGAATTAGGTGAAAAGGTTACATTAATATTTCCAAAAAATTATTCACTTTATAAGTAATAGTCAAACAGGAGGGGGGGGGGGGTCATACTTGAAAAACAGAAGTTTGTAACCTAACAGAACATCTTATAAGTAGTACACAATTTTCAAGAATTTGAAAATATTTACATTATATAATATTATAGTCTTTAACCATACATGAAAAATTCAAACAAATCATAATTCAAATAAGTATACAATTAAGGGAAAACATGGGGGGTGAGCATGTTTTGTGAATCACCCTGTATTATATAATTATATTATATTAGTGTATATGTATATTTATACAAATAGGTATTTTACCAGGGAAAAAAGTGAAATTCCTCCTTGTTCTCATAAGAGGGAAAGTTTTATCAAAACGGTATTATGAACCATTCATAGGAATTAATTTAAACATAACAATATGCTACATTAAAAATTGATTATTGATTTGATTTTCTGGCAAAGTTTCCATTTTTTTTTTTATCCAAGTTGTAGTCCGGCCAAACACATCGTTGTTGTCTAACATTGATAATATTACAATTATTCTAGTATTCCACTCGAGTTTGATTCACCTTCCACACTCCGATGGTCACTTTCAAACATATAGATAATAATAATATGGAACAGTTATTGTGTTTATCAGACGACCATCGTTGAATAATAAATGACACGCACACGGACTTGAATGACGTTCAAACGTTGACGTGTTTAGTGTTACACACTTATACGCATATATGGTCGGGTGGTCTGCCTACTGCTTATAATATGTAATAATTTAAAAGTGAACGCAATCTTTTTATTCAAATATTTTGGCAGCTGGTTTTTATTTTTTAATTCAATTATTATTCTATATTATCATTGACACGCTACCATATCTATATTATATTCCCGGGTCGTACCTTTCTGAAAATCCGAAGCCTTGGAACAATATGCTTGATACGCAATTTTTTAATAAAATATTAAAACGGTATTCTTTTTTCGTAGGTAGTAATAGTGTATACCGCCAAACAATATAATCATAGCTAGGCTACATAAACATGTAAATAATATGTATAACAATTATTTTTATGCACTTATATATTATGTTTAATGTAGTCTATAGGTACTTATTATAAAAAAACAAAAATAGTTGTTTTATGTATTGTAACTTGCCTCCCCCACCCCCCCCCCAAAAAAAAATAAAGATAGTTCTATAATGTAAACAATCAAGAATATTTTTTCGTTTACCTAGTGGCTATTACTTATCATCATTTATTATCAATTTGATTGGGAAATTATTCTGTGCTTATAGCAGTTATAGATTTCAATTCTAAAGCCTTAAAAGCATTGAGCTAATAAAATATATAAATCATCACCTATATGATATAAACGCTCTTCAGTACAGCTAGTATATGTCCTCAGCAATGATTAGCTATTACTAGCTGTAATAATTGTGTTAAATTTGAATTCAATGATAAATTATTAGGTAATAATTCTATATTATAGTAATACTGTATGCTGAACTAATAAAAAAAAAATCGGATTTATTATATGAAAATTATCATCATATTATACTATTGTTATTAACCGATGATGTCAACAACACGTACCTTAGGGGAAAACTTGAGTTGACTCCCGAGTTATTTGTTCACTTAAAATAAACATGGGTTGGGTCCACGGTATTATTTAACAATACTCGAATTGGGTCCATGGTAAATTTTATCTTATTTCTAATAGTATGTTTTTGTATATTCACTGCAGTTCGTTTTTTCACGGTAAAATTGTTTGTTCATGGGGGGAATTCTCGGTTAAATTTTGTGAAAAATGTGTGTTTTAAATTTTTCTTAATTTAAACTATTGAAGATCAAAAGAAAAAAGCAAAACATTATAATCTAATTTTATAATTATTTTAAACATACAAACAAAGGTAACAAAAGACGAAAAAAATGATAATTGAATAATAATTTTAATATTTTGATAATTTCTGCACAACAAAAAACAACATTTTTGGAAGACTTTCTAGCCAACGTACAAGTGGCGTCTTCTGGGTAACCCTAATTGGCTGGACCAAACTCATGTAGGTGCTCGTTAAAATATATCGGGTCCCAACTCATGTAGGTACTTGATCAAATATATCGGGACCCAGCTCATGTACTCGATAAAATACGTCTAGATCCAATTTAACAAGGTAATCCTACCGTAGAACGGTGTGAATAATAGTTCGTAGTATATAAAATAAAAATAGTTTAAAATTATCATTGTGTGCAAAAAATAATAATAGAGAAATGTTAATAATTTTCGTCCTTAATTTGAACTTAATTAATCATTTTAATGTCTATGAAAAAAACTGTAACCACGACGTACTCGATATTTTTAGAATACTGTAAAAATAGCTTACAAAGGACCTTGTTTAAAATATTTAATCCTTAGCTATAGCAATGAACGATTGAACACTTTATGAATTTTCAATTACAAACTAATTTACAAGTTTCCAACATTTTGTCCAATTTTAAAATTTTAAAATTTCAAAATCCAATAAATAACTCAGAAACCAACATATTTTGAAAATTATACTTTGTCAAGAAAATTCTAATATAAATATTTAGTGAAAATTTCAAAGATAAAATAGTTATTCATTTTTGAAAAACGACGAAAAATCTAAATTAATAAAAGGTATAATGTGAGTAAATATTCCCATTTTCCGTAATTTTTTTTTGTTTTTCCTTATTATTTTGTAGAGTACTAGACACAGCCGGACAACACTGGACTGTTGGCTCCCTAAAGTCATTTGCTACCAGAAACCACCCTCAAAATTGAAGATCAAAACATTTTTAGTGATCGAAAAGAAAGCTAAAAAGTGATGGCAGAGACACATACAAAAAACCACACTATTATAAGACTCGATATATGTCTCTCCACGGTAAAAAGAAGGCTATAAGTTATATATATAAAACATTCAAAACTGCACTAAAATATCTGTATTATATTTTGAATAAGGGCTACTGAAAGTCATGACTTCCCAATTAATTAACATACTGTATGGATTGATTCGATATTGATAATTTAATAAATCAATGATAAATAAAAGTATATTATTATTATTAAATCTGAAATACCGAAATGTTTACACAACACCAGTCGATTATTAATTATTAATTTTTGTGTATTTAGGTATATGAAATATTTCATCGAGCGAGTTCATTCAATTGCTAAGTATGATGTACAAACTGTTAATTGTAGTGATGTATATACATTAATTAATATATTTCTTTTTTATATTTACTGGAGTATCAGTGACTATCTGCAATGTATTGGATTGTTTCGTTTGGTCGTATAATATTGGCACCGTTGTCCGTTTTCTAATTGGATATGAATATTGTGCGCAGAATGGTAATTCATAGGCGTCAATGTCACTGAACTAAATGTGGATGATATAAAACGGATCATCTAACCAGTGGTAAGTATCAGTCCTTCGTCTGTGTCCAGTTGCAATCATTCAACGTAGAAAATCAACTCACAAACAATATCACCATGCAATTCCAAGTAAGTCGACACATTATTTTTTTGTTCAAACAGCATCGATCATTGAACATTTTGCGATCAGGAGGAAGTAATGTTGCTACGGTTTAAAAAAAAATGTATTTTGTATCTGAATAATTGTAAATAGGTGCCCAATTTACACATACATAATATGAATCAATCCTGCAATATAACTTACTCTACAGATCTAATAAAACCCGAACTGTGATATACTATATAATCTGTTGGTGTCGAATATTCGAATGCATATTGCTACACAGCGACGATCTATGAATTCCAAAATCATCTCACCTCATAATTTGTACGCCTCATTATAATGCACCATCGTGCACAGCATACGACGTTTATATCCTATACTATTTTTTGATATTACATTTTTCGCAATCTGTTATTAATTTATTATTGTGATATTCTAAGTTTCAACATTTTCGGGAGGTTATAGTATGGTGGAATTTATTAATGATAAATGATGATCAGTGTTATATACGTCCTATATAAGTAATTATTATAGGTACGTAGTGGAGAACACAGATGTTTTCAATCAGAAGGGTTGTATAAAAAAATGATATGTATATCTATATGTACACGTGTTAAAATATTTTTTTAATTTTATACATCCAAACAAATAGAAAAAAATACCAATGGATGTGTGACCCTTTGATTATAAATTATAATCATTTATACTTAAACCCGTTAGTACTCGCTGTAAAATATATCCCAATATGTAGGATGCTACTCATCAAAGCACACATCATGTGACTGATAACCTTCGTCAACTTAGCTAAGATTTGGAGAGTTATGGACTTTCTATTTATTACCAAGAATTGGCATCCATTTCAGAAAAATCTGATTACGCTTACCACCTTTAATGTGCGGACACTTAATGACTACCTATTCTAGGCTATGCATAATGAAATACTAAACAACTAAAACAAATGCAACTTGTGCGTGTTTCAGGTGACTTTCGCAGTGCTCGCCGCAGTCATGTGCTTCGCCGCCGCCGCCCCCGCAACCGAAGAAGTCAAATCGTCGTCACCTTCGTCTGCCGTTTCAGGCACCGATCGTAGCAAACGGTTCGTGGCCATCGCTGCACCGTACGCCGCTGCACCTTACGTGGCTGCCGCACCGTACGCCGCCGCACCTTACGTGGCCGCTTCACCGTACTCCGCTGCACCTTACGTGGCCGCCCCATACGCCGCCGCGCCTTACGCAATTGCTTCTCCACACGCCGCCCCATACGTCTCATCGTACACCACTTACCCATACGTTGCCAAGACCCTGGCTTCCCCGTACACTTACTACCCATGAACGGACGCTTTCACTCGTCACTACTCTCAGCCATATTCGGAAAGAAGTGCGACGTGATGGTTTGTGCTGTCCCGAGTTGCTTCTCGACGAAATAATTTTACAAAAATATGAAATCGCCTAACCCTGATTGGAATGTATTCAAAAATATGAAAATATGTCTTGTTGAAATGTAAATAAAAATTAATTTTTTCCAATGACTTATTGTATAATATTGTTTCCTATAAAAGCAGCATCGCAAACGTCGGATTGGCATGAATGCATGATTATATACTTTTTACTATTACAAGAATAAGTGGAAAACAAATAACTTTGATTAGAAGAAAGAAAATTTATCGTATGTAGGTGTTCGTATTTTTTATGTTTTTTGTAAAAGATGAGAGTACCTCATCCTATATATTATTAATATGTCCTACATTTATATTACGGGCAAATAACTAGTTATCTAGGATGTGCATTTAATTCGGTATAAAAATCGGTTACATACATGTGCTTACGCCTTATATGGTTACACTAATTGAAATTATAATTAAAATTCGAAACAATTGTTCTAAAAATCTCCAAGTATGCAAGTACTTTCAAATAGTATAAAATAAAACTAAATATTATTTTAATTAACGTCTTAAGATTAAGTTCTTTGCTTATCATATTCTGTGGCACAGTTAACAAGCCTTGGATATTATGATACACATTTTAAAAAAGCAAGTAATAGTGGATTAGTGGATGTTGCTCTGATGTATACAATAGGTTACTAGTGGGTTACCGTAAAGAATGGTGTTAAACTTGAATTCAATGATATAAAATCATTGTATACGAAAAACGATTCTGAGCGAAGACATTCTGTCAGCCTATAACATTTCTTAGTAATTTATTACATTTGATGACATTATTTTGATGAAAGTAATTAATTTTATTATTTTGCATTAGTATGCAGTTGATTAGTTACATTTTTGTCAAAATAATTACATTTCTATTATTTCATTATTTTCATTAGTCATTGTGTATATAAAATAACTATATTGTATTTATTGTGTTATTATTGTATAATATTGTTTCCTATTAAAACATCACAAACGTCGGATTGACACGATGAATGAGAATTTTTCTAATTATTAAGGACAAGAAAATATGAATGGTCAAAAAAAAGAAATGGAGATAATCTCAAGAATTAACATTAGTGGTTTTGTGCTTTTTGAAAGAGTTTACTCTTAGTTAAAATGTGTAGTTATAGGCGCAATTATGATTTGAGATTTTGGGTGGGTAGGCTGAAGCATTCACCATATCAATATTAAATTAGATAAAAAAAATTTTGAGGGAGCTTTTGAATTTTTTCTTTTTTTTTGAGGGGGGGAGGATGGATTTTCCTCTAATTCCTTCCATTTACTATATTACTCGTATAGTATATGTGTATACTACCTATAAGTCCTATATAGTTGAATACAGTTCAACTAAATATTATAGGTAACATGGCATGTTTCCTGCATTTTCGACGATTGTGGTCTATATCGCAATATTTCATTCATAATAATATAGTATTATGGTATATACTCGAAATCTTCAACCCTGGATTCCACGACACCGTGTTGCGTTCCTTATATTTATTATATGTAGGTATCGTGTCACCGACATTTTGTTACCTACACAGTATTAAATATAGGTATTAGATACGTTGGTCATATGGAACACGACACTGGTGCATTTTTTATATACCGTAGGATTACCAATCGTTTTGTTGTATTAAATGGAGCAGAACACGCGTGTGGGCTGTCGAGCTTAATACACGATACTTACATATTTAAAATAGTACCTACCATATGCATCTTGATTAAGAAAATAGTTCGCTATAAATGCGCATCGTGACTTTTATTTTTCGTAATTTTACTTAAAAGCGAGTTAAAAAGTGAGAAACTAAGAACCGCTCTGATGTAAGCACATTATGTGACACTATATTATAATAAATATGAATGATTTGAATTCAATGATAAATGATTCTATACGAAAAACGATTCTGAGATGAGACGGTCTGCTGTTGGCCTTTATTATTAAGTGTATACAATTATATTACCTATATTTTATATTTATGTTCCTACTGTCGTTATTATTAATTTACTACTTATACAAAATATGGTAAGCTGAAATTATTTTTATGAAAATAATAGGATTTATTATAGTATAAATTATTACCTATATATTATATTAAATCAAATCAAAGTACTATTCGCTTTTTTTCACAACGACAAAACTTATAAACTTGAAGCTTTGAATAGTGGTTCCTTCAACTCTTTATATGTGTTATAAGAAGAGGTTTAAAAAATCTCATTTTAAAGATGGGCCTCACGTCTCACCCAGGAATTTGGTTTCGGCAAATAAATTATTTACAGAAAATAAAATAGTAATTATGATTGGATACAATTTTCAAAATACTTATACATATACTTATACTAATACTTATACATATTTGTAGTAATGTATATATTTTTATTGAATTATTACTGTTATGGAAACTTGATACGAATAAAGTTGGTCTGGGATTTATTTGGAAGAACCTTGAATTTCTAACGGGTTAAAAATTATATGGTTAATATTATATGTTGCTTACTCTAAGGTTACTACAGAGCTTTAGAAAATTGACTTATCACTCTTATTGTTATTTTTTTAATTTGTCCATTTTATTTATTTTGCTTTTCACAAATTAAAAGTATTCAAATTTTATAAACGTTGTAATTTTTAAACGTAGGTACACAATTAAACGTAATATTGCATGAAACACGCAAAGATAAATTTGGCTGTCTGTCTGTCTGTTGGTCTGTTTGTTTGGGAGAGGTTTCGAAACGTATAGTATTACACCTGTATTTTCTGGCAACCTGATTGAGCACAGATGCAATCAAACATTAGGAATCCAAAAACTATAAAAATACGACACAGGTAAGCGCAAAAACCGCGTACAATGTTACAGTTTTTATTAACTTCCTAACTAAGTTCTTATTTCAAAATTGTCATTTATATTTTTTTCAATAGAATTATATTGTTATTTTTATTCTAAGAAATTATACAAAATTGTTTAAAAATATCATTAAAAACTTTTCATACTACATTCAGTCCAACATTTGCCAATTATTTTCTTTTTTCAGATAACATAACTTTAATTTCACAATTTTTCACCACGTTTGGTGTATATGAAAAAGTTTGTTTTCTTAAACTGTAATATCTTTAAACTAAAATAAACTGATATAACGTGGAGAACAACGACTAACTACTGATAGTTAAATCTAAGTTACTCTTGGCTAACAATCCTACCTATTCAATATCAGACAGCGTAGTAATTGATTTCAAAAATCACCAAAATTTAATATAATATTTTGTGTAGATAAAAATAATAGTTGTACTTTAAGTATTAGATGAGTATTTTATAAGACACGTATATGTGCCGGTGTTTGGTTGTAGACGGGTAGAAAAATTAATAACGTTGAATTTATTTGACTGTGCTCAATTGGGTTCCACTGGTATTTTATATTTGATAAAAAAAATAAACAACTTTGTTAAAAAGCTTACATTTAAGTATTTAACAGAGTTTTAGAAAGGGTAAATCAACGAGTACCTATTTAATTTATCACGATCAACGCTGTATAGTATCAACTAGTTAGAATATAATATTATGTCATATTGTCATTGTTATTAACTTTTGAGTCAATACCGATTTAAATTTAGAATATAGATTCACCGTTCACGTTCCATAAACAGGCAAAAGCTTAAATATATTAATCTAAATATCTTGAAAATAATGACTCCTCGTGTATGTAAGATATATTTACTTAATAATATGTTTTACACAATATATTCAAGGACGTATCAACGAATAATATTTTGTAATTTTATTACATTAAATAACTGGGTATGTACGCATAAACTAGTCGTTATTTCTTGTTTAAATATCCAACTTTGTCAAAATGTTAAAATATTAATATTTTCGGCAAATAATTCTCCATGTCGTCTAAATGCAACTTGACACAATTTTTTTCTATTAAATAAACTTATGAGTAATCTTTAATCAAATTTTCAAGTCTTGGGTATTTTAAATTAACAATTAAATTAATTTTTTTCCATTAAATAATTTTCAAATATTCGTGGTTTTTACGAATTTTGTAACAGTATAATTTTTTTTTGTATAATTATATTATTTCTAGTAAATGTTTACATGAATATATGGTATACCATAATACAAAAATATTTGGTGAAAATGTAAAATCTTTACAAGGTTATTCGTTTTTGAGTTAATTACAGCAAAAAACCAAATACTGGTTTTCCGTGAAAATTCCCGTTTTTCCATAAACTCAAAGTTCAAAATCAAAGCACTTTAAGATTTCCGCGAATGATGACATACGGACAAAAAAATTAATTACTTCGAACAGAATCTATAGTATGTACTAGGAACGCCATACAATAATTGATTAGGTAAGGTACCCACTGATCGTTGATTTCTACCGATGATTCGCCTCGCCGTCGCCAAAAATTGTCACAAACTATAAATACGAACAAGTCGGAAGACGCTTGTTGATTGTTTCTTCGTGTAAACCTCAATTTTATAAAAATGTATGTTAGTATGAGTTATAAAATACATTAACTAGTGTTCTTTTGGACATCAGTGATGAAATATGTATAACACTTAAACATATTAGGGCTTAATGTCTTGTCTATAGTTATAACTTGTCCTCTAGTAGAATTCTTACTATAGGTATGTAATATGTTTGTAATAAAAATCAATCATATAATTAATGAACAGTTAATATCCGTTAACATTTTACTCTAATTATTCAATTTCAATTTGGAACTAAAATAATTTGTGGTAAATGTTATTACTGTAAGGCTTACAATGACATATGCATGTTGTAATACAAATTATCATGAGCTGTGAAGGTACCTTTAGACGTAATACAATAAAAACTACCTAGTAAAAATAAAATATCGTCTGAACACTCGGTATGACGACCAGAATCATCCTGCTAATAAATTACATGCTCTTTATTTTTATCTTTAGCTACCTACCAACCAAAGATGAAGAGTCTACTGTCAAGTTTTGTAGACTCAAACAATATATATTATTATACAGTCTACAGTTCAACTTTTTTGCTGTATTCATACTAATGTTATTTATTGTTAGGTAATGAAAAAATAAATGTCAATGAGCTTATTATTGCAGTTCATCGGAAAAAGAAGATATTAATTCTACTTATCACGGTGGACATTAAGAATTCTTAGTGCATTTTGAAGGATTGCAACGCTACAGTTTATTATTTTTATTACGATGATGACCTTGTGAGTTGCGATGCAGCCTGAATGTCTCACGTCCTGTTTTCACTTAAACAATCGATATTTTTTTTTACTTTCTGTAGACTGTAATGTTATAATGTATATATACTATGTTTTTTTATATAACACTTATTTGTGTATCTCTAATACATTTTAGCTCCATAGTTTGTTATAGGTATACTTATTTAATTTAAACAGAGCATAACTAATTAAATAATAATTATCAGTAATGAATAAATTAAAAGAATCTGAATGGACAGAAAATGTAGCTTACAATTTTCTGCAATCGACAATTAGTCGTTAAAATGAATAATTAGTTCATCACTATTCATTCACGATAACTAATATTATTATAATACGTAAAAAATATCATATTATTTATTTATTTAAATTTAAATCATAGGTTGAAACTTTTTCATCCCACAGCCCCTTTCGTTTCTTCATAACACACAAACGCTCCAAAATCATTACTGATGACAAAAGATTATGTTGATACGTGTTAAGTATGTAGGTGTGTTTATATAAGATATATTATTCAATTCATCAATTATCGTCACGTGTCACCGATAACACCATTATTTCAATAATTTTTATTTTCCATATTGTACCTAACGCCAAAATAAAAATCATCATTATTATTCATTTTCTTCTTGCATGGCACAGCTACCTTGACCAACATTCACGATGCCTCATGGAGTCGTGACACACAGTTTGAACACCTCTGGTATAAAACTACCCTTATTCCGTATTCGCTAATACTTATGTTTTTTTAAACATATTTATGAGAAAATTCTACAAAGTTTATGTTATAAACTAAAATAAATAAAAAATTGGTTAAAAATATATACTCATTAGTTATTACTTAATAATAATAATAATAATGATAAATCAACAAAAGTCAAAATTATATAAATGTTATATTTTATAACTATGTTAATGTATTTAGTGAATGTGTTCAATTCCCGATTGATTTAAGTCGTCTTGGGTATAAGACACTTTTATTATATAAAAAATAGTATTTGAAATGATCGAAGATCAAAAATGTGCTGATCAAAGTATACTTACTTGTGTCCTACCATCTAGATGCACTTTTTTCTGCATCGGAAAAAATACTATTTGAAATAGTCGGGTTCTTTTGTCTCACATTAAGAGAAAGCTACACTAGCATGTGTTGTCTCCTTCTGTAAGATTTTTAAAATTCAAAATTTAGCAAAAACTGTTTTTCAAGATTAAGAACCACTTAGACTGTAGTCCAAGATAAGCAACCAAATTGTCATACAATAGAGAGAAGACTCACTTACTTGTCAATTTATCATACTTACATACTAGTGACTTTTATGAACAAAAAAGTAAAAGAAAATAGGAGAACAGTGACTGTGCAACGTTGTTTTTATTTTTTCGATATCAGAACTAAAAAAAAGTCATTCAAGTTTGAAAAACTCAAAAATAATACATTTTTTAAAAATTAGAACTTCTTTAGTATTTGTGATATCGAAAAATTGAAAACAACGTAGCACAGTCAATCAGTCAGAGTTCTCCTCTTCAAAGTGTAAACAATTCGTTGCTTGGTTTGGACTACAGCTTGAATGGTTCTTACCCACGAAAAACAGTTTTTGCTATATTTTGCATTGGCAAGACGGAGACAACACATGCGGGTGTAGCGTCCTCTTAATTACTATAGTAATTTATACGTTTTGATATAATTGCTAATTCAATATAAGTACTCTCTTGCAAGTTGCAGAACATCACAGTTTGAAATCTTCGGATTGGAATTCAGCAATGTTTATTACCATACAATTATTACTATGAAATCAATGATCGATATCAACATAACTGATAATACTAATGATTAATGACGTGTTGAAGTTATATTTATAACAAAATTATTATGCTCTGATGTCTTTCATTTTCATATAGCCGCACAAATATAATAACTAATAAGTAATAAGTTAATACCTACTACTAAGTAATAACCTACCGCAATAACGTAGTATGTACTGTACTACTGTGTATGTTATTCAACAATTGTTGCTGAAGTACAACTGATGTATGAAATCATAATTGTGTTATCAGACCGTCCATCGGTGATTACAATTTATTGTTTTGGCATCATCATTCATCGCCGACGACGACGGTGTCGTAATTACAACTGTTGGTGGTGCGCAGAGAATAACAATCGGGCGGTCGACTATCGAATTGACCGTATATAAGGGGCTGGCAGACCAACAGTGGTCATCAGTCAATCTACGGTCGTACACATCGTTCATCGAAAACCCTCAAGACAGCAACCAAACGGTCAAACACAAAATCAAGATGCAATTCCAAGTACGTATTCTATACTATATAATTGAGTTAGATACATATATCTTAATGCAGTACATTTTATTGTCATACAAGACTTTCGAGTTTCGACCTGTTGTGATCAACGAAAACTTTTTAACATCATACTTTTATAAAACGCTAAACTTATAATATATTGCCGTTGACTTGAAAATAATCATACATGTACGTATTAAAATGTTGCTTGTTTAGACAGATCACTTTGTTTGTCCCCTCCATACATTTGTTCGTAATTAATACATTTTTGAAATGATAATGATTTTGGTCTTTATTATTGCTGTACTAAGATCCAGAAATTATAGTATTTATTATTTTTTAGTTTAAGTAAATTAAAAAAAAAAATTATAGGGTGTTACTTACTTAAATATTTGAAATAGCCAATTTATAAGATGATTTTTTTTTAATCCTTTAAAATTTGATTTATATTAAGTTTATTACAACAAAATAGTTCGACAAGTTTAGGCAGTAGGCTGGTAGAAGTGTGTACAACTCCCTGTGGATCACCCCTTTTGAAAGTATTTATTCCAAGAATATCTTTCTCGTTTATAATTAAGCTTATAAAAATGTGTAATACTTATATTAGTTTCACAAATACCAACATGAGGTACCCACAATATTTTATATTTTATGAGTTTACCTTTATACTTGTTTTCAAAACTGCTGTAGCATTTAAAAAATATTCATATATGCTAATTACTATTATTATAATATTAGCATATTTTGTGTCTAGTACCCATGGCTTAGATTTTTTCATTCCTAGATCGGCTAGATCTTGTTCTGAACTAATGCACCCTGCTGTTGTAGGTAAAGTGTACTTGAGTTTGTCCAGCAACAATTCGAGATCCGAGTAATGACGTTCTTTGTTGTTAGATTTAAGATTTTATGCGATTGTTAAAACACAACTATATAATTTATATTTGTCCAGGTGTGTTTCGCCCTCATCGCTATGATCGTGTGCTTCGCCGCCGCCGCCGAAGAAGCCAAAACCGCATCCGACAAGTCCGCAGTCACCAAGTCCGCCACCGACAGAAGCAAACGTGGCCTGTACGCTCCACTCATCACCTCCCCGTATGCCCCAGCGTACGCAGCACCATACGCAGCTCCGTACGCTGCCCCTTACGCCGCCCCGTACGCCGCCCCTTACGCAGCTCCTTATGTTGCCCCTTACGCAGCACCGTACACCGCCCCATACGTAGCATCCCCTTACGCAGTCGCCGCCCCATACACTTCTTCGTACGTATCTTCTTACGGAGCTTACCCATACGGTTATGCAGCTTCACCATACGGTTTCTACTGATCGACAACTTCAAGATCAACATAATATTATTATAATTTTTATATACCTTAATTGTACCAGGTATATTTTCCGTAAAACGAAAACAGATAAATATAATTTTGTATTTGAAAACAATTATACACAGTAATGGACATGTATTCTGTTAAGCAGTACACTGTAGGTACCTAACTAATATGGATACCTACGCATTTTTTGTAGTCTTATTATTTTGTAAATAAATATACCTTAAAATCAAATAATTCGTGTTTTGTCTTTTTAATCCCCCAAACTTTCAGTGCAATGTTATATTTGATCAATGATTATTGATTACCTATTACAGCATTACGTTTCGATACTCGTAGAGCGTCGAAACCGTTTACGATCAACCCCAAAATGTTGAAACACTATTAAAAATTAATACTAATTTTAATGTTTAACATTAAAACTTCAGTGTTGTGTATATGGCTTGAAAATGACATAAAGAATTATATTTATATATTTGCAATAATTGTGTCATCGTGCATATTTACATATGCGAGTATACGACGTAGGTCACCAAGAGAAGCGTGAATTCAGCTACTGTACTTTTCACCACCCGGAGGTTCACTGTTTTAATAAGTACAGTAGTACACCTATCATCTATATTGTTTGGCTACAATAAAATACATATTATTACTGTCAATGTAAAACCGATAAATCATTATATAGTATTCGACAAATTAATACGTATGTGAAAAGTAGGTTGATGAATCAATAAGAAATAACAAATGATATTGAATCATTTATATTCAGCGAGTAGATACACACAATACACGTGTATTATATTATACGCCCAATAGTACAATAGTGTAATACTACCATATGGTTATGTGTTTTGTCATTTGTATGAGAGCTGAAGAGGAAATGAGTTCAGAAATTATTAAGATTTTTCAGAACTATAAACCTATTGAATTCATTACTATTTTAATTTGTATTCATCATTTACTGTATATTTATTCACAGATACATCCTAGAAATCACAAACTTTTACAATCTGTTTTCGTCGTTTTCGATAAAAAAAAGGTTTCCATAAGAAAAGTACGTATGTAGATTGTATAATATAATGCGTCAACCAATAATTGTTTTTTGTTCATTTATAGAATCAAAAAAATAATTCACTCTTTACTGTACTTGTATGAAATGTGTTTATATATAGGTATAATAGTGTATACAATTATGACGTATTGTTAATAGTTTTATTAGGTACATGAAAGTATAGTTGATAAATATAGTTACTGTTGAATTACTCATTTCAATTTAATTACGATTCCACTGGTCACTAATTTTGTTTAAAGCCACTTAAAATTCATTTTCACCCCCTTGTACGTTTTTATTACCATATTTTCGTTATAATCTTTACATATTATTTTCGTGAATATTTTATGTACCTATATTACTTTTAAATTTTGGTGTTCAAAACAGGTAAATTAAATTAAAATATAATAGCATCGTAAAAAAAATGATGAACCTTATTTGAACAGTATTTTTAAATTTTAATACTGTGGCCCATCAAAAATCTATTTAAAAAGATCAATACGTGGAAGATGAAATAATGTTTAAATTAAATTATATTAAATTAATACTATATAGATAACAGTATAATGTAATAATAACTATGAATTGCAAATGCACTGATTATATATTCAAACAAACTATTATATTATAAAGAAGTAATAACAATTCATTCTAAGACAGTATACATACAGTGAATATTGATAAATCCTTATAAGCCAATAAAATCCACCATGTGTTTATTAATTTAATTGAAGACAGCACAAGGACTATCCTAATTTAAAATGTTTGAATATTTGTTTGTAACTGAACGTGAAACGTGAAGCGTGTATATTTTTGTCAATTAAATCTATTGCGCAAAAATGTAAAATATATATACAATATTAGACATTACCCATTGATTATATTAAACATTTATAACAGTGTACTGCCAAAAATCTGTCTCATTAAAGTTTAAATTATTTTTCATGTAAATAAATTTGTTTTGATGTTTTGTAGTTCCTTGACATTTTTAAAGCATATTCAAAAACTAATTCATCTTCAAATGTTTCTTTAGTATATCAGTATTTTTGGGACGTACTTAATATTACTGTGAGCAAACAGTTTTGGTACAAAATAATATTTATTTTTACTTGACACCATTTTTGTAGTATATACTTCAACAGTATAAGTATATATTACTTTCTTATATCATCAAAAATAAATCAATATTTAATGTGTCGTGTATAACGTCGATCGCTGATGGGTTGATCCTGGAACGACTACCTAATGACATAACTCATAAAAATAATGATAACCTTTGACATGTTTAGACAATTTGTACCTTCAATCAGGACAACTTTATTCTTTCATACGACTGTTAATCGCGCAGCCAGAAAATAAATTAAAAACTTATAAAAACAAGTTTAATTGTATACATTTGATAAAATAAAAGTAATAATTTATGTTTTAATATTAAATTAATAAAATTGCTATTATTAACTGTACTGCAATTGGTTAAGTATCCCCCCCCCCCCACAAAAAAAAAATTGTTAAAAGTTGGTTAAGAGTATTTTTATGTTGAACTTTTAGTGTCCTGCAACTCTACATAAATAATGTTGGAACTCTCCTCCCTCGAATTTTTTTCGGTTACGACCTTGAGTATGTGTATTACATACAGGGTGTTCCAAATTTCATGTGACAGCAGATTTCAGCATGTTCTACTCAAATTAGGAAAAAATGACCTATGTGAAAACTTATTTGAATCACATACTCTAAACTAATTTGATATTAATTTTTTTTTTTATTAGTTAAAAGGGGGGGATTTTAGGGGTAACTTTTAAAATTCAAATGGGAATCTATATTTTTGAAATATGATTGATATAGGAT